CGCCTTCTAATGTCTAGTCTAAACCTCCTCTCCAACAACTTGTGGCTGTTATTGCTTGTTACCCAGGGGGTGCTAGGAGGAACAAGGTCTCTCCCAAACCCTGCTGGTCCCCTCTAGTGAATTTATAGATGGTCACCAGGTCCCCCCTCAGCCTTCTCTTGTGGAGGCTGAACAGGTTCAGGTCCCGTAGCCTCTCCTCGTAGGTCCTGCGCTGCTGCCCCCGATCAAGAAAGTGGCCTCCTCTGGACCCTCTCAATGCTGTCCACATCCCTCCTGAAGTGCGGCACCCAGAACTGGATGCAATACTCCAGCTGCAGCCTGACCAGTGCCACATAGAGGGGGAGGATCACCTCCCTGGACCTGCTCGAGATGCATCTGTGGGTGCAGGACAAGGTACGGTTAGCCCTACTGACCATGACCTCACATTGGCAGCCCATGTTCATCTTGGAGTCAATAATGACTCCAAGATCTCTTTCTGCCTCCATGCTCTCAAGAAGGGAGTTTCCCATCTTATACATGTGCTGCTAGTTCCCATTGCCCAAGTGCAGCACCCCGCACTTGTCAGTATTGAAACTGCTCTATGATTCCATGGTAATGTGACACCCAAACCACAGACCTGAACAACCTTCTCACTGTGGCTACATCCAGAGCATAGACCTCCCCTAACCACACCCCTGCAAAGTCAGAGACAACATACTGACTGTACACCAAGAGCAGAGACCCCAGTGAACACCCCCAGCTGTCAGAACACTCTTTACTATAAAGAGAACACACCAATAATCTATTCAGAGAACAACCCCCCAATGCCAATGCTACCCACAAGAGGCCCCAAATACACCCTATAATCTGTTAGGTAACATCCCCATGTTACACCCAGTGTTACCCTTCACTTACCCTCTGTGAGCTGTCAGCAACCAACCCAAAGCTATACTGAGAACACAGCTCTCAGCTGTTTCCACTGTCTGAGGAAACACCCAAGCACCACACCTGCAGCAGAATCCCCCAGCTACATGCCAGCCAACTTTCAGAGACTATACGCCAAGACTTCACTGGAAGGAGGCATCTCCAACTGTCTAATACTATCTCCCAGTGCTACATCTGGAGTAAAGACTCCCGGACCTGACTATGCCCTTCACTTCCTCTGGATTCAGCCAGAGACCACTTCATTGTCTCACCCCCAGCAGAGCAAGCCTTAGATCTCCACTGACCCCCTCCAGCTACCACTCCACAGGCAACTGCCCCAGAACTGAGACCCCGGAGGCACTGGCCCTTCCTTGTGCTGACAGCCAGAAAACCCTGTAGCCCTTCCCACAGCACCAGGACACCCCTCTGCAGGGGCTGGGCCGGGGCCAGCTTGTCCCATACCTTGGGCACGAAGAGGACCACCAGGGTGATGTAGGAGGAGAAGACGACGGCCAGCGAGGCGAAGGCGAAGGCAGCGTCCTGCTGGCTGTTCAGGATCATGGTGACAGGGGCAGTGATCAGACACAGCACCTGTGGCCAGGCCAGAGCAAGGGGGTCACCATGTGGGAGAGCAGGGAGGCAGATGGACCTGCTCCCTTGAACACAGTCAAGAAACAAATGCCCCCCAATCCAGCATAGATGAAAAGGGGGCTAGGGGAGTACCCTGGGCGAGTGGTGGTGCTATAGGTGCTGCAGCAGTGGGGAATACTCACTGCCATGCCCACGGCCTGGTGACAGGCACAGGGGATGTCGAGTGTGCTGGGGTGTACTCACTGCCACGTTGTAGATGGCCATGCCCACAGCCCTATGGTCATTGATCTTCTCTGTAGAGACACTCTTAGTCTCATAGGCCAGGAAGATGCCCAGCAGCAGCAGCAACCCCTTGTAGCCATAGAAGATGCCTTCAGGGGAAGAGCAGGGAATGGTAAGGCTGAGGGGAGGCAACTGGGGGAGGGGCAGGAGCAGACGGCAAGCAGGGAGAGTGAGGAGTCAGACAGCCGGGGCAGGAAAGGCGTGAGAGGATGGAGAGGGCTGGGGAGGAAAGGGAAGACTCCTAACACTCCCCCAAACACTCAACATTGTCCCTTTCCTTCTCCCCCAAGCCAAGCACTGCCCATCCCCACCCCCACCTCCACCCCCCATACTCCACCATCCAGATACTGCTCACTCACCTCACCCTGTCCCACTCAGACACTGCCTGTTCCCTGCTTGGTCCCTGCTCTGCCCACCTACGAGCACCCTGACCCCTCCATCAGCCCCCATGCCTTATGGCACTTCTGCATGGAGACCCCCCTACCCACCGAGCCAGGTGTTCATCTTGGTGGAGCTGCAGTGCTCCAGCTGGGGCAGGATCGAAACGTCAATGTCCGTTTTAGGGTCCTCTTTGGTGAATTCCTTCAGAGACAAATTGCATGAGGGTGACCCCAAGAGGCAGAGGCAGGAATCACGTGCTGCAAGTTTCCCTACAGCAGTGCCTCAGTTGGACCCCCAGGTACCATGCACTCCTCCACAGAACAGTGGGCTGCGAACTTGCCCCCCACGGTGCCCTGACAGGTCTTCACCTCAATAGTGCGGTGGAGCGGATCCACAATCTGCCAGATGGCCAGCGTGACGACGTCTAGCCCGACCAGCAACCCTACTGTGGCGTACAGCTTCCAGGGCTCAAGGGTCTGCATGGGTGGCAAAGATAGAGTGTGGCAGCACAGAGGCCCTGAGGAGCCCCCGTCCCGTTCCCTACAGCACAGAGCTCCCAAGACCAACAGGGGGAGTTGAGGTGAGCGCTGGCTGCTGAGCGAGCCACAGCCCCCTCCCTGCCTTGAAGCTCACCGCCCCACTTCCCACCACCCAGCAGCCCAGAGCAGTGCACCCCTCACCTTGCGTCGCTCTTTCTTCTCTTCCTTCTTGGTGAAGACGGTGTGGACCCACCAGATCTTTGTGAACATGCTGCCGTAGCCCAGGCTGAAACCCAGCCCCAGCAGCCACAGCCGTGCCTGGGAGGGAACACAGACAACAGCCTGAGGGCATGGCTGGCAGGGCCCCCCACCCCTCAAAGCTCTGCCTTTGCCCTCTGCTACCCCAGGAGAGAGCCCCCAGTATGACTCTCCACCCCTCACAGCCCTGCCCCCAGGAGAGGCCCCACGGCTGTGCCCCATTTCTAGCATTGCTCTCTGCCTATCCCATGAGAGCCCCTCTTGCTAGGACCCCGTGCCTGATTCATCCCTGTGTCCCCTGCCTTGCCTTCTCTCTGCTGGCACCCTGTCCCAGCCCCAATCCTGGGCCATGCTGTACCTACCTGGCAGACAAAGGGGAAGAGCCCAGGTCCGATGTGGTAGCCGTCCAGGCCAAGGGGGAAGACAGCAGCCAGTGCCAGTGTACAGCCCACAGCCGTCATGTTGTTCAGGTAGGGCTGAGAGTTCTGGATGTACCTGTGCGGTGGGACACCAGGCATCACCTGGGGGTCCCTAAGACCAGCCCTCTAGCTCCCACTCCTCTGAACCCCCAGACACCCCAGGTATCAGTCCTACCTGTCCCCTTCACCCACATGCACCCCAGAGATCATCCTATCACCCCAGCCCTGATCATCTCACAGCCCCAGGTGCCACCTTTCCAACCCCCAGCCTCCTACCCCAGACCCCGGACCTACATGTCACTGCCCTCCCGGTCCTACAGGCACAACTGAAGTCCTCCTAACCCTGCCCCAGGCCTGCTGGCACACACCTACCCCCACTAGGGATGTCTCTCCTCTGGGGCAGGATAGGATGGGCCTTGGGGTGGTAAGGGGGGACACTGACCAGATAGCCCCATTGTGAGGCACAGGCTGTCCCAAAGGAGGGACAATAACTGCCTGTGTCTGGCTGTGGGGACACACGTGTTCACTGTAACAGGGGATGTACTGGCCACTTGGGGCTGTGGGGTGAACATGCAGACCACGGGGATCTACTGGATGTTTGAGGGTGAGCATGGGGCCGAGTGGGGAGTCACTGAACATACGGTGCATGTAAGGGCAGCAACATAACTAGGGCTGGGTAAGACAGTCACCTGCCCTGGGTGCCAAGTTAGGAGGGGGGCCAGAATCACCCCTCACCCCCTCAGTCTCAACAGCGTTGCCATGCTTCAAAACAGTTCCCGGCTGCTGTTGCTTTAAAAGAAGCAGAGCCAGGGCAGGCAGAGAGCACAGACAGCAGCTCTGCCGGGACTGTTCAGGAGCTCCTGGTGGGCAAGGCTGATACCCCCAGGCCCCACTCTTGCAACCTGTAAACCCCCACGCACCCTGCTCTCCCACAGGGCTTGCCATGGGCACGAGCTCAGCTTGTCACACCACTGCACAGTGGCTACAGTGGGCATGGGGAACTGTGCTGGGCAGGGCATGGGGGGCTGTACTGACTGGGGAGAGGTAGCTATGGGATCAGGTGTAGGATGTAGGGGTCTGTGCTGAGCATGGAGGGGGCCTGGAGCATGGAGGGGGCCACACTGGTCACTGGGGTGTCACTGACCGGACATGCCCATTGTAGATATTGAAGGCCAGGCAGATGATGGCCAGCAGGATGCCCAGGCTGGCCAGCACCGACACCGAGATGAAGAGCTTCTGCGACAGGAAGCGAAAGGTTGTGATGACCTTGGTGTAGTCAGCTGGGGGGGCACCTCCTACAGGACAGACAGCAGAGTCACCCAGGGGCAGCACCCAGAGACCCCTCATCCTGCACAGAGCAGTAAGAGAAGCCCCAAGTAGCAGACCAGGTCCTGCATCAGGCTGGGGGTCATGCTCCCAGCCTCAACAGGCAGCACCCTGCATGCACCCCAGCACCGGGGACCCTGGTGTCCCCTGGGACCCCCATATCCCTGACACTAATGTATGACCCAAGCATGCCCTCTGAGACTCCCATGTCCCCCTGATCCCACAAAGACCTCTGCATCCCTCTGGCCCTCACCCATGTCTCCTTGACCCCCTACGGCTCCTGCAACACTTTGAGAAGATTATCCAGGAGCATTTCTGGGAAGGATTAGCGGGGGGATGATGCTCAGGAGCAATGAGCATGGATGGGTTCATTAGGGGCAGGTCCTGTCAGACCAACCTGATTGCCTTCTACGATCAGGTCACAAAATCATTGGATGCAGGTGTCGTGGTGGATGTAGTCGTTCTGGACTTCAGGAAGGCCTTTGACACTGTCTCCTACCCCATTCTCATCAAAAAGCTAGGTGACTGTGGCATTGATGCCTACACAGTCAGATGAGTTGCAAATTGGCTGAGGGGCCGCACCCAGAGGGTGGTGGTGGATGGATCATATTCAACCTGGAGGGAAGTGGGCAGTGGAGTCCCCCAGGGCTCGGTCCTCAGGTCCACACTGTTCAATTTCTTTATTAGCAACTTGGACAAGGGGGTAAAAAGCAGCCTGTTCAGATTTGCTGACGACACCAAGATTTGGGGCGAGGTGGGCACGCTAAAAGGGAGGGACAGTATACAGCTTGACCTGGACAGGTTACAGGGGTGGGCGAATGAGAATAGGATGGGATTCAGTCCTGACAAGTGCAGGGTGCTACACTTGGGCAGTAAGAACCAGCAGCATACCTACAGGCTGGGGAACTCCCTTCTCGAAAGCACAGAGGCAGAAAGAGATCTTGGAGTCATTATCGATTCCAAAATGAACATGGGCCGCCAATGTGAGGATGCAGTCAGTAAGGCTAACCATACCTTCTCATGCACCCACAGATGCATCACAAGCAGGGCCAAGGAGGTGATACTCCCACTCTATGCAGCACTGCTCAGGCCGCAGATGGAGTACTGCGTCCAGTTCTGGGCGCCACACTTCAGGAAGGATGTGGACAACATGGAGAGGGTCCAGAGGAGGCCACCCGCATGATCAGGGGGCAGCAGGGCAGGCCCTACGAGGAGAAGCTACGGGACCTGAACCTGTTCAGCCTCCACAAGAGAAGGCTGAGAGAGGACCTGATGGCCATCTACAAACTTACCGGGGGGACCAGCAAGGAATGGGAGAGACCCTGTTCCCCTGAGCACCTCCCAGAGTAACAAGGAATAACAGCCACAAGTTGTTTGAGAGTAGATTCAGGCTAGACATCAGGAGGCGCTACTTCACGGTCAGGGCAGCCAGGATCTGGAACCAACTTCCTAGGGAAGTGGTGCTGGCTCCTACCCTGGGGGTCTTTAAGAGGAGGTTTGATAATTACCTCACCGGGGTCATCTGAGCCCAGTATTCTCTCCTGCCCAGGGCAGGGGATCGGATTTGAAGATCTACTTAGGTCCCTTCCGACCCTACATCTGTGAATCTATGAACACCCTCCAGACTCACATGAGTACCCCTGGTGGCTTCCCACATATCTCTCACCCCCCCGCTATGCCCTGCAGGTTCCCCCAGAACCCCCCTCAAACCTGCACCAGTGAACTCCTCAAGCTACATGTGTCCCCAGTATCATCCTGCATGCCCCTGCTAACCTAGGTCTATACCATGGGACCTACATGCACTCGTGCTGCCACCAAGCCCACTGGAGCCACTGCATGCTGTAGGAACTTCCACACTCCCACAGGCTCCCCCAAGGCCCTAGGGCCATGTGCACCCTCCTAGGCCACCTATGCCCCTCCAGGACCCATTTTTACCCCCGAGACCCCACAGGCTTCTAGGCCCCTGACTGCTGAGCCACAGAGGATCACAGGATTATAGGAAAGAAGGGTTGGGAGAGACCTCAGAAGTCATCTAGTGCAGCCCCCTGCTCCAAGCAGGACCATCCCTGACTAAACCATCCCAGCCAACTGTCTGTCCAAACAGCTCTTAACAATTTCCAGGGATGGAGAATCCACAACTTCTCTAGGCAGCCTGTTGCAATGCTTGAGCACCCTTTTACTCAGAAAGCTCTTCCTAATCTCCAACCTAAATTTCCTTTGCTGCCATTTGAAGATATTGCTCCTAGTCTGTCCCCTATAGCCACAGGGAAAAGTCTATTTCTGTCCTCTTTATAATCACCCTTCAGGTATTTGAAGACTCTTATCAAATCCTCCCATCAGTCTTCTCTTCTCCAGACTAAATAACCCTCATTCTTTCAGCCTTTCTTTGCAAGTCTTGCCTCCCAGGCCTCTAATCATTTTTGTTGCTCTGTGCTGGACCATTTCCAATCTGTCATTATCCTTTTTGAAGCCTAGGGCCCAAAACTGGACAGAGTACTCCAGGTGAGGCCTCAACAAAGCTGAACAGAGCAGAAGAATCACTGTCTGATTTGCAAGAGATGCTACTGTTAATACGACCCAGAATGCTTTTGGGTTTTGTTTGTAACAAGAGCACACTGTTGATTCACATTCAACTTGTGGTCCAAGGTAACCCCCAGTCCTCCTCTGCAGTACTGCAGCGCCGCCAGTCATTCTCCAATCTGCATTTATGCATGAAATTATTCCGTTCTAAGTGCAAGGCATTGTATTTCATCTGATTGATTTTGGAGCATCTCTCCAGTTTATTGAGGTCAGGCTGGATCTTAGCCCTAATCTCCAGCATGTCTGAAACTCCACCTAACTTGGCCATGCTCCTAGCCTATGGTGGGCAATTCCCAGAATCCCCAGAGGTGGGTGGTCCCCAGCTCACCAATCCACTTATCGTTGTTGTACCAGGACAGGTTGTCCTTGGTGCTGTCATAGTAACCAATCTTCTTGTAGACACCGCCTGCCAGGAGAAAGGGATGGGTCAAACACTGGTGGGGGATGAGCTACAGCCATGCAGTACAGTCGCCCATGGCAGGGGCTGGGTGGGAGCACTGGGAGCAGCTCTAAAGGGGGGGAGGGAGGATGGCATATGATGGAGAGGTGTACATAGGAATCTTGCATAGAATCCCCCATAGTGTAGGGGAAACACGTGCATTATCTATTTGTAAAGCTTGCCTATGTAGGCGTGTGTGGTTGTGTGTGCCTGTGGAGAGACCACTGGGAGTGTATAGATCCAAGTGAATTAGTTTTGGCAGGAGGTGCAGGGGAGAGAGAAGAAATCCAGGTGAATGGTTATCTTCATAGTGGGCTTGTCGTGCACTGATGCGTGTGTAGTGATGGGGGCTCCTGTACCAGCAGGGTCTCACTTACACCTTGGCTGGAGGTGCAGGGTGGTTGTGTGCTTGGGGTGATGCTCTGTGTTGTGGAAGTTGTTGTACGCAGGCTGGAAGTGTATGGTTTTGTCACATGCTGAGTTGTGGGGTAGGGATGTTGTGGTATTTTATGGTGTTGCATAGCTGGATTGCTTTGAGGTGAGGACAGCTATACTGTTTTTGATTGCTCTGCTGTGTGTGTGGTGATAATGGTGGTCTGTTGTTGTGTGGTGGTAAGATGGTTGTGTTCTGGGGTGGTGGCATTTTTTATAGGGGAGGGGGTTGTGTAGTCCATGAGTTCCACTATATTATATACCTGGGGTTATCTGGTATGTATGGGATTGTGTGGTGTTGGTATGTCGTGGTATGAGAGTGTTCTTGAATGGTATGTGGTGGGCATGGGGGTGTGCTGATATGTATAGTGGTGGGAGGGGTTGTTGTATTAATGTTCAGAGTTGTGTGGTATAGGGAGGTTATTATGTGGCAGTGGGAGCCTGTGCTGTGCATAGTGTTTTGTGGTTGTGGTGAAGGACTGCTGTGGCATAGGAGGGTTGGTGTGTGGTGGTAGGTGGGTTGCACAGTGGTTGGAAGTTATATGGTGTCTGTGGATTGTTTTGTGGTGTGGTGGGGGGGTTGCAATATGATGGGTGAGGCACACTTGCACTGTAGATGGGGTGTTATGCCACTGTGCACTGTGAGCAGCAAGGGGAAAGCTGTCACTCACCCTGCAGCTGTTCGATGAGGGTCCAGGCCATACGAGAGCCACTGGCATCAAACACGACATGGCCCTGTGTGGGGGAGACACCGACAGGACATCACCCCAGAGCACCTGACGACATCCACCGGGCTGAAAGGGCCCCACTGCTGGCTCAGCAGGAGGACGGAGGTCACTGTGCACAGCACCCAGGAGAGGGCACCATGGCCCTGCTCTACCAGTGTCTGGGCAAAGACTGGCCATACTGGCTGCACCAGGAGACCATATTGGAGGGCCTGGGGAGGCCAGAGAGGAGATGCTATCTGGGGACCTGGGGAAGCCAGGGGAGTGAGATGAGCACTTAGGGGGACACCAGAAGAGATGGGGCGCTGGAGGATTGGGGGATTGCATGGGTTGGATGTACAGAGGGGTGGGGGCAGAAGGGTCTGGGGGCATCTTACAGAAATGGCTTCAAAGATGGAGAGGTTGAAGATGTAGTAGGTCTTGTTAGGGGCAGAGGGGCCTGGGGGTAACTCACAGAGACGCCCTCAAAAGCAGAGGAGTTGAGGGCACGGTAGATCTCATCGGTGATGTTCTTGTTGTTGTAGTTGAAGTCCTCCAGCCGCAGTCCCTTCTTCACCAGCTCAGCCGAGGTCTTGTTGAGCGCCAGGGCCAGGGCCCAGATGGCATCGTAGGCCAGGGGTGCCTCCTGGAAGCCCCCTGTCTCCTCTGGGTTCTTGCCTAGGCGTTTCTGCAGCTTTTCAATAAACTCCTGTGATGTCTGCACACAGCAGGGGAGGGGAGGTCAGAATAAGGGCAGTGAGGGGGACATACGGCTCCACCTTGGTCTCCCGTTCATCCTGGGGACAACTGCCCAGCCACCCCTCAGATTCAGAGCCCCCATCCTGGTCTCCCCACCCCACCCCTCCATACCATGTTGGATATGCTGCGGGTGTTTTCAGGGTTCAGCATGACAATCTCGGTGGTGACATGCCCCTCCACGGCTTCTGTCATCTCAGCCACGGTGCAGTTAATGGCAGGATCCTTGATGCGAAACCAGTTATCAGCGTACCAGCCAATCAGGAACCACACATACTTCTTCCCGTACAGCTTCTCCTTGTAAACCTGTGAGAGGGGGAGGGCAGGGGACTGTCACCCACTGAACTCACACGTCCCTCCCCATAAGCACCCATCCATTCACCCGTCCAAGTACAAGCTCCATTCAATCATTTATCTGCACTCAAACCATTCCATCCTCCCAAACACCGCGGCGTCCTAGTATGCATTGTTTTGTATGTGCTGGTGTGTGGGTCTGGGGGAAGGTGTATGTGTAGAAGGGTGGCATGTGAGTCTGGTGGTATTTAGAGGGGATGGGGAGCGTGTTGTGATGCCTATGTTGCAATGACTGAGTGTTGTGGTGCATTGTGGGGGGCTAATGTGCATGCGTCATGTCATGCACGTGGAGGTTGTGCATGTGTTTGGTGAGACGGGAGTGTGTGTGTGCATGCTGTGGTGTTTGCATGAAGGGGTCTTGTATGGATGCTATAGTGGGTGTAGAGGGGATAGGGAACATGTTGTGATGTTTGTGCTCTGATGACAGCCTGCTGTAGTGCAGTGCAACGGGGCTGGTGTATATATGCTGTGGGGTAGATGTGGGGGCCACTTGTGTGGATGTTGTGATATATGTGTGTTATGTTTGAGTTGTTGTGTCTGTGCGTTTGGTTTGGTGAGTGGGTGGCTGTGCATACTGGTGTTCATGTGATTGTTTCCCACATGGAGGATGTGGAGCATGTGGAGCGGATGGAGGGCATGTGGTGGTGCTTCTGCTGCCATGTGTGCCATGGTCTCTGCAACCTGCAGTGTGGAGTGGGGGTGCTGTGCTGTATTGCGCATGGACATTGGGGTAGCTGTGGGTGAGAGGATGTGCCTGGATGTGGAGCGTCTTGCCATAGTGGCAGCTTGTGTGCTGTGGTGTGTGTGTCTCTATGCAAGTATCTGGCAAACACAGGCTGACATTGGGGCAGGGAGCTAAGTACCATGTTGGAGGTCAGGCTGTTTGGGGCCCTCTCCTGGCACGGGCTCTACAGGGCAGGCACAAGGGTCCAGGAAACTGGATATGATGTAGACTGGTCCCAGATCCCTGTTGTGCTGAGATTGCTCTACAGCCCCCGCACCCCACCATGTAGATACCCATGCAACTATCATGGTGATAGGAGCCAAAAGGGACCCATGAACACTGCCCCATGGTGCCCTCTGGCCCTGTCTGCTGAACGTATGAGGTATTGGCGAGCTTTGATAGCCGCTGCTCTGGCTACAAGCAGGGTAGAAGGGCTCCCGGGGGGTATGTGAGAGAAGGTCCAGCTCCAGGCTCTCCTTGCTGGGACACGACTCAGTTTACCTGTCTAATCCTGCACTGCTTGTTACCAGGCCCCGAAGGGTTAACTGTGCTCCAGAAACGCTCCCTGGGAGTGAAAACTAGGCCGTTGATGGCCTGGTGCATGGTGTGTGTGTATGTGTGCATGTGTGTGTGCAGGGGCAGCGGATTAGCGGGGCTCACCAAACAGGTCGACCCAGGCAAGGCAGCGGGGGTGCCACACAAAAGGCAAAAGAACTGTTTGCTCCAGCCGCCTCTGGCAGGGGACGGTTGGGAGCAGTGGAAAGTTACTGAGGGCTGAACAATGAAACCAGGCAACAGAGGAAGGGTTTAAAAAAGGATTCACAGAAAGAACAAGATGGGGGAGGGAGAAGACTTGCAGAGGGAGGGCTGCGCTGGAGCAGGGAACCAAGGGACACATTGCAGCATTGAAGGCCCAGATTAGCTACAGGCCTGTGCCAGGCCAGCAACCATCTTCAAGGTCACTGAGTTCCCTGTTTAAACAGGGATGAGGACAAGTCCCTCTCCCTCCCCAGATGCCCAAGAGAAGGGGAAGGGGCACTGTGTGCAGGAGTGGCATGGGCTGCTAAAGACCCTATACTCCCTTGTACTCTACACCTCTTGAGTGTGGGGCAATGCTGTATTCAGAGCCCCCGGGGAAAGCCTGGATGTGTGTGCGCGTACGCACGTGTGTGTGTGCGTGTGTGTGTACACATGCGTGTGTGTGTCCTGTGCTCACTCCTGGCTGCTGAAGGGTTACACGAATCCAGCAGGCTCCCCCTCTCTCTGGGTCAGTTTCTGGGGAGATGGCCAGCGGGAAAGCAGGAAAGGTCACCGCCACGCCCAAGGGACACACTGTGGGACTGTGGGCTCCAGCCCTCAGAAGGGGATGCCACACAGGATTTTCCCCAAAGAATATGCCTAGAGACCCCCCAGGCCAGGGGCAGGACCTGGCTCTGATTAGACTTGGTGGTGCAAAGCACACAGGAAACACAGCCGTCCGGTCCTCAGGCAGCGGGCCAGATTCTGGATGCAGCACGTGTCAGAGGGCAGCGTGGCCGGATCCTGGATGCAGGTGTGGCCATGTGGGCTGTGGCTCAGATGCCAGCATCTGTGAGCACAGCAGCCCTCCCTGCTCCTCCTGTACTAAGCAGGTAGCTTGGCCCCAGCTGCCCCAGTGCTGAGCCCAGCCCCCTCCCCGGCTCTTACCTCGCAGAAGACCTTGCGTGCCTCAGTCTCATAGAAGAGCCCCACAATGATGCGGGCGTCCTGGCGCTGTGGGAGACAGCCGCAGGGGCACAATTGGTGAGTTAGGCAGGGGAAACATTTGGAGAGGCACCCACCCCTCGCCACTTGTCCCCCATTTCCCCTCCCACAACCATTAGGAGGGTCCAGGTCTCCATCCCCAGCACTCGCCAACCTACTCAGAGGATGCTTTGCATATCTCTGCCTCCACAAGCATGCGTCACTCCCACCCCACACAAGGCTGTGACCCACCCAGGGGGCACTGAGTGGGGAGGACCCAATACAGCAGGGACCATGTCTGGGTTGCTGGAATGGGTTATGGGGGGAGCATGTGGGTCCTGCCAGATCTAGGATGTGGGGGGCACCTTGGGGGGAAAACAAACAACAGCCTCGTGGTGACAGCACTTGCCTTGGCATGCAGCAGAGCCCAGATCAAACCCTTCCTACCCGCACCGAGACCAGGGACTCGACTCTGGGTCAGCCCCAAGGCTTGAAAAGCAGTTTCTCAGTGAAGCTGCTCCACTCAGGCTAAGGCAAGGCTGACTCCTGCAAAGTTACTGTGATGTGAGATGTGGCTTCACGCCCCGGTTTGCCTCAAGCAGAGGTGGGGTTTGAGCCACGTGCCACCCTGAGTGCCCCAGCCACCGGGCCGCTGGCAGTGCTGGTGACCGCGGATTCCAGCCAGGACCTGGCAGAAGCTCTGCAGAGGCTGGCTTCTTCCCGCAGGAGCCTGCCGCTCCGACGGCTGGGCACGCCCTGACCTCAAAACATCACTGCCCAGTTCTGACCTTGGTGCCTCACACTGGGCAAGCGCAGGACCCCGCGGCCTCCGTGGGTTCCCTGGGAAGGCTCCTGTGCTTATGGGGGCTTGGGGAGGGAGATTCCTAAGCACACCAGAGGGACAACCGGACTTCAGGGTGGATGAGGCACCTGTCTCAGTGCAGGGCTGTTGGGCAGCAAAGTCACCAGGCGGAACCCCAGCCTCCTACCCAGGGACAAGGCCTGGGAATGGGAAGCAGAGGAAGTGGAGCTGGGTCCCAACCCCCATCCAGCACCGGATGGCACTAGCCTTAGCATTGAGCATCGGGACAGAGAAGGTTCCCCCATGTCCCCGCACTGCTCCCACCTCACCCTGGGAAATCACCTTGAGGTTACGGACAGGAGAAGTCGGGTCAGAGAAGAAGCTCTGGCGGAAGGTGATCTCAAGCCCAGCCTCCTTCACCCGCTGGTCCAGGTCATCCAGGGTCTGTGAGATGGGGCAGGCAGAGGCAGGGACCAGGCAGTTAAGAGTGTGGGGGGCAAGGGAGAGAAAGAGCACAGAGTTATCTAGAGAGGCCAAGAGGCTGGGTGTGGGCAAGGGCAAGGGCAGGGAGGGATGGGGTGGTGGTGGGGCATGGGGAGATGGCAGGAAGCAGCATGGCATTGGGTTAGGGGGGACTATAGGAGGTCTAGGGATCAGGGAGGCAAGATGGGGGTCAATGCAGGAGGCTATAGGTAGCATCAGGGCCACCAGACAGGATTGGAGAACTGCACAATAGGGGCTGAAGGACCTGGGTGCTGGGTGCAGCTGAATGTGGGGTCAGGAGCTGGACAGAGGCTGTTGTAGGACTTCAGGGTCAAGGCATGGTGTGAGGATAGGAAGGACTTAGGGAACTGGACAGGGAGGCTGCAGGGCTGGGGCCATGGGCTGTGGCAGGGTTGTGGCCCTGGGCAGAGATTGTAGGCCCAAGCTGAGGAGTCGGGGCACTTGCTGAAGGTGGCTACATGCTCAGGGACTGGGGAGAGCCACTGTGAAATGAGGGCATTGGGTAGGGGCAGTAGTGACAAGGGAGCATTGAGCAGGGCTGACTCTAGGGTTGGGGGTGGTTGAGGGCCCGGGCAGCTGCCAGAGGCTGGGGGGCCACAGCCATACCGAGGTGAAGACCTCTGTGGTCTGCTGGATGGTGGCGATCTTGGTCCAGCCCCACTTCTTGAAGAGCTGAACACGGGTGGGGTTGTGCAGCGTGGCCGACGGGTGTGTGCGGAAGAAGGTGGGGAAGCGCTGGCGGTTGGAGAGCGCCGGTGAGCTGGAGCCGTATGAGAGCTGAGGGAGAGGGACACAGCGTGTGAGCAAGCCCACCACCACAGGCCAGCACAGCCCTTGCACACCTGCTGGCATCACCACTATGGCCCTCATACACCCATTAGCACCACCAGCACAGCCCACCACAGTCCTCTCATACACAGAAGCATTGCACACTCATTGCCACACACCAGCACAGCCTTCATACACCCACAGACATAGCCCTTGCCTACCCACCACCATGCACTGGCTCACACTCACACCCCCAACACTTATATGGCCTTTAAGCACTTGCCAAAACTCCAGTGCAGCCCTCACACACTTACCACCATACACCAACACAGACCTCACATGTACTCACAAACACTCACTGAGGCCTTTGCACACTCATCCCCACACAACGAGGTCTGGCATCCTGTCACATATTGTTACAATCATCACACACCAACCCCTGCTCAATAAAGCAGCCCTTGAACACCCATCACTACATAATGGCATAGTCATCACACACTTGCACACCACCACTGCACACTAACACAGCTCTTGTGAGCCTGGCCTGCACATCCTCCAACACACATAACACACGTGCATGCCCAAGCAATAGTACACACAGACGAGCTTGCTCACCTCAAAGCATGCCAGCACCACCACTTGCACACCTGCCATCAGTATGATGCACAGACAAGTCCCCTCACCCACTCACCATCACACATGAACACACCTGCTCATACACTCACCATGCATCACATGCAAACTCTCCTCCTCACATGTGCATTGCCAGTTGCACACATAGGCATGCCTGCTCACTCACCTCCAAAAACTGATGCCTGCTCACCCCCTACACATGCACTTATCACACACATGCTAACACACACCAGTGCTCACATGAGCTTGCACACCTATTGCCCCACTCAACCTCCCCCCATCACACGCCCTCCAATGCCCAACGCTACCCAGTGCAGGCACCAGCTCAGATCTGTTAACCCTGACACAGAGGTGCCAGCGTAAACACCGACCTTCCTGTACCAAACCCTACACACACCACTACACAACCACACAGCCACTCTGCACACACGCATCCACACCTGTAAACAAGCACATGCCAATCTACACATAGCATCCCCTGTACAACCACATGCTGAAATTCCAGCACACATAACCACCTCCTACCACCCCTACAGATCAGCTTTTGCACACCCACACAGACACAGACACAAAGCCTCCTGAGCTTTGCCCACATACATACCCTGCCTACAACCTGCCACATCAATGCACAGCCTCAGTCCTCCCAGCTGTTTGCCCTCAACACGTCCCATTGAACTAGGACACCCCAAAGCACAGTGCTCACTGACCTCTCCACACACCCGTTCCCCCCCATGCCCCACAGACACAGGCTGGCCCCTCTCCCCCCTGCTCTTCCACCTCGCCCAGGTCCAGGCACGGCACCCAGTGCCTGCAGAGTAGCTCACCACGATGAGGTTCCACATACGGGCAGCCTCTGCCACCAGGGTTGAGACACTGCTGCAGCCTGGCATCAGGATGATCTTGATGGGGTCATTGTAGAGCAGCTCGTAGAGGTACTTGGTGGCCTGGCCCGGGTCACACTGCAGGGACGGGGCAGATAGAAAGTCACATCTGTACCACGTACTAGACCTCCCCTTACATCCTA